TCTAAAACCGATCGCCACCATCCTGGATTAAAAAATGGTAACGGATATCGAATATTGACATCTACAAGTCGTCGTCGTTCCGAAAATACTAATTTTATAGGATACTAGACAGTTTTTATAAAATCAATGGCCGTCATCTTGGATTTCAAAATGGCGGTGGGCATCGAATTTTAACATCAAAAAATCGTCCACGTTCCGAAAATACTCATATTGTTGGGTATTTGACAGTTTTCCTAAAACCGATGGCCGCCATATTGGATTCCAAAATGGCATCTTGAATCGATATCCGGCCTCTACACGGCCCCCTGTTCTGGAAATACTCAAATTGTACAGCAACATGCTATACGGGAAGGCTATCAAGACTTAGCATATTCAGGAAGTTCGCATGCACATTAGCTTCATGTAGTGAGAGAGTTCAGAACTAATATGATAACCATCTGAAATACCGTGGTCATATCAGCAATTTTGCTGAAGACTGTAACCTTCTATACGGCCAAGATCTCGAGATACAGCTTATATAGGACGTTCATGTGCACACTAGTGCCGCATAGTATGAGAGTTCTAAACTAATATGGCAACCATCCGAAAGAACTTGCTCACCTGAACAACTTTGCTAAAGACGGCAACTTTCTTCATGGCCAGGATCAAGATATATTCGATGTTGGACAAAAATTCCATATAATATAGCGCCCGTCATAAGTAATATGAAAGTGGGGCGCCTCTAGCGGCGCAGTTCCCCATTAAACCTGAATCAAATAGCACAAGCTTGTTGGTCTAGCCCAGTTCAACAACTTTGTCCAAGACAGTATAGCTTTATATATTGAAGCAAATGATATAATCCACCACACACCCTATTAGTGAAAATCCCATAGGCTGTGGGTATCCTTATTTGTGGATAGCCTGGCAATAAGAATACCTGACTGTAGATAGATACAAATATTCACTTGTATACTAGCGTCACGTAGTGAATGAATTCTCAATGCAATTTGCCCACCGTCCTAAAGGTATTGGTCACCTGAACAACTTTGCCCAAGACAAAAACTTTCTAGATGGCCAGGATCTCAAGATATAGCATAAGCAGAAAATACACATGCACACTAGCGCCGCGTAGTGAATACATTCTCAACTTGTCTGCCCACCTACCCACTTGTCTGACCAAGATGTTGGTCAAATGAACAACTTTGCCGAAGATAGCAATTTCCTAGGTGGCCAAGATCTCAATATATAGCTCATACAAATATTCACTTGTACATTTGCGTCGCGCAGTGAATGAATTCTCAACTAATTTGTCTACTCTTGGAGAGATAGCTGTTTATAAAAAATGCCAAAATGGCTTATTTTATCCACTTTATGGTCGTTTAGAGATTGTTTCAAGAAGTTTGGTTGTGAGGTGATAAAATAGCAGCAAATTTCTTTTGGGCTGTCGAGGTCGCGTACGTAAAAATTAAGCATTATAAAGGGTGATAGGTCAAAATTTGGTCAAGGGAAAACGCGTGTAAATCGGTGAAATCGTTTATTTAAAAAATCAAATTAAATTTCTTTTTCAAGTTCAATTAGTATAAAATTCAGGAAAAATATTCAGTTAGGCTTCCGCTTTTCCAAATCCGAATTGCCGGGCCTTACGCTTGACCCCTGCCATCAGATTTTGTACAGCCACCTTATCCACCTTCTTCGCCGCAGAAAGCCAGTTTGCCTTGAACTGCTGCTCGCCCTTAGCAGTTTTTTTGGTCTTCTTTAGGTTCCGCTTGACAATAGCCCAGTATTTCTCAATTGGGCGGAGCTCTGGCGTGTTGGGAGGGTTCTTGTCCTTGGGAACCACCTGCACGTTGTTGGCGGCGTACCACTCCATGGCCTTTTAACCGTAATGGCAAGATGCCAAATCCGGCCAAAACAGTACGGAACAACCGTGTTTCTTCATGAAAGGCAGCAGACGTTTATTCAAACACTCTTTCACGTAAATTTCTTGGTTGACAGTCCCGGAAGCTATGAAAATGCTGCTTTTCAAGCCACAGGTACAGATGGCTTGCCAAGCCAGATATTTCTTTGCGAACTTTGACAGTTTCATGTGCTTGAAAACATCTGCTACCTTTCCCCTTCCTTTTGCCGTATAAAACTCCTGTCCCGGAAGCTGCTTGTAGTCGGCTTTGACGTAGGTTTCGTCGTCCATTACCACGCAGTCAAACTTCGTCAGCATCGTCGTGTACAGCCTCCGGGATCGCGCTTTGGCCGTCGTATTTTGTTTATCATCGCGATTTGGAGTCACTACCTTCTTGTAAGTCGATAGTCCGGCTCGTTTTTTGGCTCGATGCACGGTTGTAGACGATACACCCAGCTTATTTGCGGCATCTCGGAGAGAGAGGAGGTTAGGGTTTCGCTTGAAACTACCGGCAACTCTCTTTGTCGTCTCAGCGGCTTCCGGTTTTCGATTTCCCCCCGATCCAGACTTCCTGGCTGTCGACAAACGTTCCCCAAACACTTTAATTACATTTGTAACGGTTGATTTGGCAACTTTTAGCGATTTTGCCAACTTTGCGTGCGAGTAGCTCGGATTTTCGCGATGCGCGAGCAAAATTTTGATACGCTGCTCTTCTTGCTTGGACGGCATTTTGACAACTGAAGAGTGAATTCCAAAATCAAAATAGGAGCAACATTCTACACACACACACACCTTCAAAATGAGGGGTGTTCAGGTTTTTTAAATGCAAAATTGAAAGAAATACGTCAAGTTGATATTGACCAAATTTTGACCGTATCACCCTTTAAATACATTCCATATAGAGTGGTCCTAAACGGTTCAGATTTGAACGGGTTTACCGATGCAAACCCGAATCGGTAAAATTAACTGGTCCAAGTATTTCCTATGAATTCTGCTTTCCATTCTCGGTAATGGCGGCCTGTTTGTATGAATAAATGTATCCTTCCCTGTGCTTTTTCACACTACCTGGAGGTTCGGATTTTGAACCCTCCCTTTCCCTCTCCCACACGGCGAATGAGAACGACTCAAATTTGAGTTTAGTTCACTCATAATCGCCAAAAGTGCAGGAACTCAGCGATGAGTTAATTTGCCTCATGTTTTCCCAGGTTTTTCCAAGATTTTCCAGGAAAAAAATCCCAAATTTTGAGAAAAGTAAAGATTGGAATCACTCAGTCTATTGGTACTACTCCGAGACTGAATAAAATTTTCGTCAATTTCCTCATTTTCCGGCAGATTTTTTAGGTTTTCCACAGGAAACCATGGGACATATTTTACTCATCGCTGAGTTCCTGCACTTTTGGCGATTATGAGTGAACTAAACTCAAATTTGAGTCGTTCTCATTCGCCGTGCAGGAACAGAAGAAAATGGAACAACATACGCCCTCCAGTTAGTGTCAAAAAGCACAGTGAAGGATACATTTATTCACTGCCATTACCGAGCATGGAAAGCTCGATAGAACGTAGGTCCCTTTAACGGTTCCCTTATGGGCGTTGGAGAGTTAAGGGGGAAAAGAATAACCCATATCCGAGGATAAAAAGATACAGACTTTCGTATGGTTCAGATTTCGCTGTCTGGCAATCAGACTGACGTCAGAATGTACGTAAATATGTATTGTTCCACATGTGTACAAATAATCCACTGCCATCCATCACCATCGTTCAACCACACGTGTGTCAATCATACAAGCTAGGATCCACTTACGTCCCACACATGCAACCGCTTGTGTCTGCGGTTTGTTTTCCTTATTTCTTTATTTGAGCAAAGATAAATATTGTTCCACAGGGGAGGCTTGCGACAGAGATTGTTAGTTCATTTCCCGCATTTTCATCCGTACACCTACTGGGCTCGTACTGACAAGTATTTATTTACTAGCAATTAACACGGCATATGTGCTCTCTTTATTTATAAAGAGCAGTGTCCTCGCAACAAAAAGCGAAAGAACTGTCACTGACAACGCTAGTCAGTGGTTGCTTTGATTCAGGTCAGTTCAGTTAAACATCCAAAATTCGTAGAAGTACCTTATCCCATACCCTCTATACATAATGGGATTACTGCGGTTGGTTTCTCTCTCAACGATCAAAGCCAGGTGCGGCTAGGTTTCCTTTGAAAAAAGAAAAATAACTCCCAAATGGAATAGAAGGAAGGAAGTTAAGCTAAAATTCCAATCCAGCTTATCACAGCACTGGTAAAAAAATGGGGACTGGTAAATAACCACAAAGTCCCATTCATTCACCACATGAAGTCGATGGAGGAAGGACGGTAGATGACAGCGCCATATCATCATCTACGGTCAAACATCATCGGTAAATGGGACACATGAAAGGTACAAAAGGTGAACAGGAAAAAAGAAATAGCCAATCGAAGAAACTTTCCACTCCTTTCATCTCCGTTTCGTTCGTCGGAAATAGTATTACAGCAAGGATATAGTTTTTCTTTTTCTGTGCTACTACTCCCACGGGATTCAGATCCGGAGGAGAAAATATGGAACGACAGGTCAAGACAGTTTATATTTAGACGAGGAGCTTCTTTGCCAGAAAAATCATGGCACACTTTGATGACAGTGGCTCAAACAGAACGACGCAAAACGCCAAAAATCAATCATGTTTCAATGGAAGCGCTTCCGTCGCTGCTGACTCGCAATTTCGTCATCAAGACGGCAGAATTCCATTGTTCTACGACTTTCGCTCGTCTCTATAGCTGTTAGTGTATATAGTGCTATATGACGATGGCACACCGCCCATACCGCTATCTTATTTCCATTCAATCCGTACTGTGTGTTGGACTTTCCGACCTGATATAAAAGCCACCTTCACCGCCGTTGGCAGTCACATTTTCCTCTTTTATGGCATTTTCCCTCGGAAACAATTTTCACCCCGAGGTGACTCTTTCTCTCTTCACAAAAGCTATGGCACACGCCACGATCATAATTTCACGCGGAAACGTCTTCCACAATGGGGAGAAGGAGCTGTCTTCCCACGCGCCATTTCATGTTCTTTACAAATAGTTACCGTGTTCCGAGCTTACCTGAAACTGCTGGAAGTCGTCCCGGCGCCCCTCGTGCACCCACATCACCGGGTACGGCGACTTACATGGCAACGTCAGATTCTTGCCCTGGTCGACGACGTACTCGTCGTAGACCACACCGAAGGAACGCGTCACGTAGAGAACTGCAATGGAGGAAGAAAAATCGAGGGGAATCAGTTAGGTATAAACATGTCATCGTGAATGGAGAATGTCGGTTTTCTATTTATCGCCCTTTCGACCTGGTGTGCAATCATTTATGACCGCAATACTTGAAGGGAATGTACATATATCTTTCTTGACAAGTTGGTACGTATCAATGGAATGGTAACCTGCTTAAGTTGTGCAGAAGATGTCCCTGGTGAATACAAGCTACGGCATTTTGTTTCCCATGCAGAAAATCATAAAATGATGATTTTGACGAAAATAGAACCTTTTTGGAAATTGATATTTGGTATGAATCGATGGTGCCTCTCTTCAAGAACGACGTACCAGCTGATATGGGCCACTTTGGGGTCCTATTTGACATGAGTATCAGTCGTTCTGAAGCAATCAACAGAATTTGAGCATATAGTCATTGTATTCAAAAGCTATGGGCTCTTTGATTTGTTCTATCTTTTACTTTCATCAAACGAACTCACGGCTCGGAAAATATCGCATCACGAAAAAGACCAGTCAGTTCCAGGTCAAAGAAATCAATTAAAATAATGTGGTTCGCTATAATAGAATTTTCCTAGAAGCTTGTGCCATCAACAACCAGTATTTTTGTTTTGATTTGAACATTTTGTGTGCAATGATCTTTGACAGTGTGCAAACAGTGTTTCATTTTGTCATTTTTTATGCATTTCAGTTTTGAGTAGAGTGAAAGAGATGGAACCAAAACATTCTAGTTCATTTGGTGAAAATGCTAGTACAATCCAGTAGTAGTGTTGCCATGTGATACACTGAAAAATTGCAATAGCAGGTTCGTCACTAAAGTTTTAGAGCCGCTCCGTCTGTCACTTCGTTTGTGGTCAGAGGGTAGTCACTCTACACAGTGTGCCAAAAACAGGTTTGGCACAGCTCTGGCACACGCATTGAACAGAAATTTATGTGATATTTTGCCGTAGGACTACGTCTTTAATTTCTATACTGGGGTAAACTTTGTGAAAACCGAAAATGGAACGGGAAACAAAATTATGAAAGATTTTGAACATTAATAACTCAGCTGCCCCTGGATCAATTTCCATTATTTTATCACCAATCGATTAGAAATATGTCTACGCAATGCTTCCAATTAATGATTTCAACAAGAAACTATTGAAAAAGTGGTTATATCAAGCATTATCCAAAGTACAAATAAAAAGTGATATTTTTTCACTGTTTTCATGAAATAAACGTTGTTTCCAAACGCAGTCGTTATAATCGAGTACCACTTGGTTGCACATCATTCTGATTTAACCTGAAAAGATATAAAACAACGCTACTGTCTAGCCTCAACTCAGTCAGTTGATCATTCCCTGCTTGATCGTGAAGCAGTCCAGTCCGGTTTTGTCCGCTCTCTCTCTCTCTCTCTCTCTGTAGAGTATTCGTTTTCGTTCGATAGTGTTCGTGTCTCTCTTTCGCGGTGTTAAGCTAAACACCGATTGATCCCAGCATGGGAAAACCGCCGCGTTGCAAGCTCGTTCGGGAAGCGTCCCCGACAGGAAACCGCCAACGCTCAGTCGGCATAGAAAAAGTTGCTGTCAAACAACCGGTACGCCATTCTCGAAAATGGTGATGAACCGGAAATAAAGAAAAATGAGAAACTACCACCCTTTTTCGTCAAGGGATTCCCACCGGGCTTCAGGAGAACATCAAATTCTACATCGAGCAAGACTTGAAGTGCACCATGCGCATGTGCACTGAAGGTATCATGCTGGTGGTACCAGCAAGGAAGTACTACAACGCCATCGAAGAGCTGCTGAAGCGGGAAAAATGGGAATATTTCTCTCACGATGTCGAGGAAGACAAGCCGTTCAAGGTGGTCCTTCGTGGTCTACCCGACATGGGAATCGCCGCGCTGTCGGATGAGCTGCAGAAGAACGGCCTAAAGCCATTGCAAGTCTTCAAGATGAATCGGCACGACGTCTCCCGTAAGTACCGTGACCAGTTGTATTTGGTCCACCTCGAGCGAAACACAACGTGTTTGAAAGACCTGCAGTGTATTCGGGCGCTTTTCGACATCGTGGTTAAGTGGGAACGCTATCAACCTCGCTAAGGGCCTCCACGCAGAACCAGCCGGATCGGAAAGAGGTTCCGGCACGCAATGACCAGAATTTTCCCGCCATTAGCCAACGGCGTCCGATTCCGGTTCTTCCGCCACTTCCGCTCAACATCCGTTTGACTGCTGCATCGGTCCCGCCATCTGCTGAGGTGCCAAACCATCCGGCTAATCCGGGTCGTCAGTCCTATGCAGCAACGGTTTCGTTCCCTCCCCGGGCTATCGTGGCGTCAAGATGATGCCCCACCATCGCATGAAAACGAAGAGCTACTCACAACAGAGGAACTCATTACCATCATAGCAGAAGCAATCATCACCAAGCGCTCCTGTAGAACCAGAACTGAGCAGATTCTTGCTGCATCACGTTTCATCGACAATTATGGACCGTGAAACCATTAAGATCGCCAACTGGAACGCTTGCTCGCTCAAGAGCAAGATCATCGAGTTCGTTGACTTCCTCAACAAACAAAACATCGACATTGCCGTTATTACCGAAACCCACCTGAAACCGGAGGTAAACGTCTACCTTCCTTACTTCCGGCTTCTAAGACTTGATCGAACCAGCTCCGGGGGAGCAGGAGTGGCCATTGCTGTAAGGAGAAACATCGAAGCTTTAGGGGTAGAAGTCTCCACTCCTGTCGGCCCTATCACCATCATTGCGACCTACTGCTCCAAGCAAGTCAACATCATTTATTTATTTATTTATTTATTTCGTCAACCAACGTAGACTAGTACATATTAGAATACAGTTTTGTTTTCTTAAATTTATTTATTTATTTCGTCAACTTTGGACAAAAGGTTAAAAGTATAATTTTTTCTTTAATAAAAATTAAGCAGTCGGCACGGGTCGGCAGCAGATCTGCGGAGGGACATCATCAAACTAACTCGACGGTGCGAAATGTACATCATCGCTGGCGACCTGAACGCCAAACACCAGGCTTGGGGCAATAGTCGACGCAACCAAAACGGCAACATCCTCAACGACGACCTGCAATAGGCTCGCTACACCATATTAGCGCCGGACTGTCCCACCCGGTTGAGCCGGTCTGGCGTTCACTCCACCATTGACATCCTCATCAGCAACATGGGAGACAACATCTCGCTACCTGTGACCCATCAGGAGCTGAGTTCGGACCGCTATCCGGTGGTGGCCGAAGTAGGCTCATCTGTCAACCGATTCCAAGCTTCCCGACGCAACTACCATCGTGTCAGCTGGGAGCAGTTCCAACACTGTGTCGACTCCACTGTCGAGTACGGTGTCCTTCCGGAGACGCCCGAAGACGTTGACCGGTGTCTGCGTTCCATTGAGGAGGCGATATCCCGGGCCAGGGACCAACACGTGCCAGTATCCAGACAGGTGAACAATACTCTGACCTTGATAGAATTACCATAGATCTCATCAGACTCCGTAACTCCATCCGAAGGCAATACCAGCGTTCTGGTTTACGTGTCTTGAAGACCCATTGCAATCGTCTTACAAAAACCATCCAAGCCAGGATGGTGGACCTCAGAAATCAAGATTTTGCTAACAAATTCCGCTCTCTCCCAGATTGTGCAAAGCCCTTCTGGAAACTAACGAAAATCCTTAAAAATAAGCCAAGACCCATTCCACCAAAGACCCCACTGGATCGTCCCGGCGACCCAGTGCTTCATCTGATAACTCCTGAAGAGAAGGCTGCCGCGATAGGTCAACACTTCGTCAGCTCCCATAATCTCATACAAAACATCGTCAGCCCTCATGAATCAGATTCCTTACATTTTCCCCGAGGAATCCGAGATTACGGCTGACGAACTGTTGGCCTTTATCAAATCATCTAAAAACATGAAGGCCCCAGGTTTCGACAACATCCTGAATCTGGAACTCAAACACTTGAGTTCCAGATTCTACAACAATCTGCTACTTGTAGCAGTAGACTTGGCTTCTTCCTCTCGTGTTGGAAATCAGCTAAAGTCATACCCATCCGGAAACCTGGGAAGGATCGGTCCACTCCTTCAAGTTATCGACCAATCAGCCTTCTCTCAGGATTATCAAAACTGTTCGAAAGAGCAGTCTACCACCGGCTCCTAACATCTGCCGAACAAAACAACATCTTACTCGAGGAACAGTTTGGTTTTCGGTAAGGTCGTTCGACCGTCCACCAGCTGAATCGAGTAACAAACATTCTGAGACGGATCAAGTCTGTTTCGAAAACATCTGCCATGGCATTGTTGGACGTTGAAAAAGCGTTCGACAATGTCTGGCATGATGGCCTGGTGTTGAAATTGCAGCACTACGGTCTTCCAATCTTCCTAGTGAAGATAATAAACAACTATCTATCGGACAGGACGTTCCGAGTCTCTCCGAATAGCATCACATAGGATGTTTTCAACATTGGTGCCGGGGTTCCACAAGGAAGCATCCTTGGCCCCATTCTAATCAACCTGTTCACCTCCGATATGCCGGCTCTCCCTGATGGTGGATCGTTGTCTCTGTTCGCAGATGACACATCCATCGTCTACAAGGGTATGGTCATCGGAGCTCTGACTGCCAAACTTCAGAGAGGCCTGGACGTCCTGTCTGAATATTTCAACAGCTGGAAGATCCTTATCAATGCGGCAAAGACCCAGGTCATCATCTTTCTACACTCAAAAGCTTCCAGACTTGTTCCGTCTGAAAATAATAAGATCTGCTTAAACGGCTCAGTGGTGGAATGGTTGAAAGAGGTAGTCTACCTCGACTTAACACTAGACAGCAAGCTGATTTTCAGTAGTTTACAAAACCAAAACCAAGTGTAACATCTTAATAAGATCACTGTATCCACTCATAAACAGGGGGTCCACTCTATCCCTGAAAAATAAGCTTGCTTTCTACAAACAAATCATCCTTCCCGTAATAGAATACGGGATGCCAATCTGGGAGAGTTG